GTTCATCGTGAACCTAGTTCCTCTTCACCTCCCAGCCCCATATCCCCAATATTTATCGACTTATGTTTATACCTATCTATTTTGCCATCGACATAGGAAACTATCGTTTTTCGATCATGACAATGCAAATCTTGAGAATGCATTTACAATGAAAGTGCGAAAGTTCCAAAGGTTTCTCTGTAAATCACTAATATGTGTATATGAATGTGTATGGGATAAGACTTATTTTCAATCATTTCAACATATTTATCAGAGCATAACATTCATAATTGCAATTTCATACGCGCAGTTTCTTCTTAAAGAAAACAGTAATAGACAAGGTTTATAAATCGAGGATATAACAGGAACGGGTCCCCACACACACACACACTCATACCCTTCGTCTCGGAATTCTAACGATCGAGCACTTAATTCCTTAATGAAGCGCGTCAGGAGGGTGATGCGTCTCGTATAAAATGGCGCACTTGTGCACTGATTTCACGGGCCACCTGTCGCACCACTGGTGCAAAACCACCCCATTGCTTTCGTCCTATCGGTCACGCAGAGTGTTAGGCATTTATTCTCACAGTGAAGACAGACTTGGCTAAATCTATTTTAAGAAAATACGATAAAAATCGTTGAAAATTCGAATTTTCTTTGACACGTCAATTATTCTTCCATCTTTGATTCTTAAATTAACAATTAAAATATTTAATAATTGTATAAATTGTAGATACGATACGATACGATACGATACGATACGATTTACTATAAATAAATATTTTAAATGAGAATTATTTAGAAACAAAAACAAGAGAAAGATTCTAAATATCGTGGACAAGAAAAAGAAGTGATATTCGTGATAGGTGGAACATCAAAGACTCATCGATCTTGTCCTAAGTCGACCAACTTGCACCCTTCGAGATAGGAACCGGAAAAAAATCTAACAACAAGTAGAGATAGAGAAAACGAATGATAGCTAGTAAAAGGTAGGCGTGTAAAGAACTGTCAAAGCTCGTTCCTTATTTCTCGAGCTGAAGAATCGAACATACGGGCTGGTAGACAATAGGTAGGAGGGAGTGTCCTTTATATATATACATGTGGTCAATATATATATATAAATGTGTATATATGTATTAGTATATGTGCATGTGTGTGTAAGAGAGAGAGAGAGAGAGAGAGAGAGAGAGAGAAAGGTGTCTCGACAAAGGCTGACCAAAGGCAGGGACATTCAAATGGTAATCGGGCTCGTGTCTAACGTACATACGTACACTGGACCCTTCTTCCTCTTCCCTTTTCAAAGGGATCTTCTCTCTCTCTCTCTCTCTGTTCTGGCACCCTCTAGGTTAGTGTCTACACCCCGCACATTCGCACCAGAATCAAACCAAATATTGGCAATATCATCCCTTCAGTATTGTCCTCGGCTAGCTGGCTCCTCCAAGAGCGTGCTGGGAAACGATGTACATTTGAATGCACGATTCCATTGCCCCGAAACGGAATATCGGCTCGAAGATATTAGAGGATTACCGTTTAAACGGAGAATTCTAGCGATATCCTACTACCTACGACGTTACAACTTCAACTCATATTTTCGACATTATTTTCGAAATTTGGAATAAGGAAATCACGATGAACGAGACTTAGAGAATATATTATGAAAGAAACGTAGAATTTTCTTTGCCACAGGAGATAAATCGTCGGTATCTTTTAAAGTCGTTTTCTGATACGGTTATCAAGAAAATTGTTAAAATATACATACTCTACGTTGAATACATTTTTAAGTTTACTTACTTTAAATTTTATTTTTATATGTAAAATAATTGTATGCATGCAAAGTCAATATTTTCAATGTAAACAAAATCGAGATCGATTACATGCTTTGTGTAATTCATAGATTTGAAACTGTATTTTTATAAAACGCGTTAGAATTTCAGCAATGAAAGGATTTTCTGATTCGAATTCGACAATAGATTATTTTTTAAATTTTTCGTTGTATTGACGATAACGATTGCTATTATATTCGTGAAGTAAATAAAAATAAAAATAAAAATAAAAATATGTATATATATATATAAAATATGGATGTGTATTTTGAAATTGGAATCTTGGTTGAATCCTACTCTGGTGTATATCTAGCAACACTCGATCGTCGTATTGATTCAGGGTGTGCACGACCACGCACGTGGCCGTTAGCTCGTGTAGGCGTACGCAAAGCTCCCGCAACCCGAACTTCAGCACGCGCCACGATTACGCGATTACGCGATTACGCGATTACGCGATTACGCGTGTCGACGAGCTATCGTTGGCCCTTTCGCGAGAGATGTTAAGGGTGATGAAGGTAAAAGAAGAGGTTCACGGCTGATCTCTCTTATATGTGCAATGACGTGGAAGATTTCTCGATAGAGGAGTCACCGTTCCCTTATTCTCCTTTTTTTTTTCTTTTCTGGTCTTCTCCTACTCATCCCCATAAACGCATCTGTCGAATTTTTTTCTCCAAAATAACATGAAATATTCCCGTTATTTTTGGATTTATATTATATTCCTCGATCTGTTATAAACGAAATATTCTTATCTATCGTTTTGTTTGTTTGTGCTTCCCTTACAATGATTGATATATATATATATATATTTTTTTTTTTAACCTTTTATATTATGAGAATGATAAAGTGATTTTTCATGACCATTTTAATTTTTTCTTGTTGAGAATTCTTGAGTTATCGTTCATCTAACATTTCATTGGATTGGATCCAAATAATTTGAGTTGAAAATTAATTTCAGGATATAGTAGGACATGTAAAGTATACGCTTATGTATGAACCATCCTCATTAATTTTAGGTGTAACAATATCTCCCGAAATAGGTCCCACGTCACACTGTTACACTCTGTACATATTCGGGATAGTAAAATCAGAAATAAATCAAAGTAAAATTAACCTGGAAGGAACTAATTGTAAGAAAAGTATTATAATACATACAGTGGGTGTAAAAAGTATTCGTACACCGATCAATTTGAAATAGAATGTTGTGAAATTGTAATTTATTAACTAATTTTTTATAAACAATCAATTTGTACATATTCTTGAAAGTTTCGTTAAAAATGGCATGATTAAAATAATGGATTGGGATCGAATCCAATAAAAATTTGAGAAGGGACATTGAAAATTTCATTTAAACGTATATGAGTCGTATATATTGTAGGTACTAGTTAGACACATTTACAGGAGGAATATATTAGTGATCTAGGCGAGATTTGACGTGTCGCATCGCGAGGTCACCAAAGTAGCAGCGTGGCAAGAATTACCCAGGGTGCTGAACGGGGGATTGATGCATGTTACCGCACGAGCCGACACGTGCCATCGTCTCGCTTTATACAAACAGCATTATGCACGCTTGTGCTAACATAAATTACTGCGGGTTTAATATTGGACGTCAGCGTTGCCCATGGCCGACCGCCTCCTGAGAGAGCAAAATACGTTAAATGCGGGGAACCAACTAACCATGTGTGTAATGCGTCCTTCCTTCCTTCCTGCCTTCCTTCCTGCCTTCCTTCCTGCCTTCCTTCTTTACTTTTTATACAAAATTTCTATACTTTGAGAAAACAGGTGAATCAATCTACCTTTTTCACCAATCACATTTTTTTTTTTAACTACTCATACTTTGAAACTTCTTATTTCGTCTAAAAATAGTTATTTTCATCATAAATTTCATATAATATAATTGATTTTTTTTTTTAATTTTATCATATGTGTATATTTAAACAGCCTGTTTACGATTAAAACGATTCAATAATCCAGGAAGTGTTTAATGAGTAATTACAAATCGTTTCCATAAACGCACTTATTCACCTCATTAATTATTTTTCATTCATTTTTCATTTATTTTTCATTCATTTTCCATTCATTTTCCATTCATTTCTCACTTATTTCTCATTCATTTTTAATTGAGGTAAAATATAAATACAGAACATAAATACAGATTAATAGTAATGTAAAAGTATAAGAATTTGAATCGTTAATAATTAATCCAATTAACGTTAAAATAATACAGTTACGGTTCGCATTTCTCGACAGTGGGTTGGATTATCTTTAGAAAAACAAAAGAAAAACACGAATTTCTGAAACAGAGCAATCATTATCTTTCTATGAGTATTACAGATACTCTAAAAGTTTAAAAACCGATTGACTTAAGAAGAAACTTCCGGTGAAAAGCTAAAGATCAAAAGAACTTTCATCCTAATTCCGATCCTAATTCATTCATGAGGGAACCAAGTTAATTCATGTAGAAGGTCTGTGTCCTATCATTCTCTGTAGGGTGTCCACTTATCGAGACCGTTTGTTCTTTCTTCTTTCTTCTTTTTCTTCTTTTCTTCTTTTCCTTCTGCGCTCCTCTTGTTGGTTTGGAAACGCAAAGCACTTTTGTAGGGCTCCTAACACCACATAAAGTCATTTATAAGCAAGTCTCTCTCGCCTTTTAGGATTCTGTTGAAAGAGCTTATTGTGAAAATCGAAATTTACCACACGAATGATACCATTCACACAAAACTGTTTGGTACTATTCATTCTCGATATCTCTTTCCCTTCCTCGATTTCATTAAGATGCTAAATATTTCTCCTATTTAAATATTGAAATTTATTTCTTTTTTATTTAATTACAATATGACATTATTGTGACCACAATTATTGTAGAAACTAGCAGTTAAAAGTTTAAAAAAATCAATAAGTTATTTGAAATTTTTATCCGGTAGTTTCGTATCTAAATTCGTCTATCAAATGAATCAGATTAAACTAAACATTAGCTAATTTAAAATGGCACACCCGTTAACGATTACAAATCGTCGATTAAATTCTTGCAACAAAATAGGATCGGGCAACGTAAATAGATCGTAATCTTGTGTCAATAGTGTTTTCGATATCGCTACATTCACGATAGAGCAGGATATGTTTGAAGCGATAATGATCTTATCGTTTTTTGGGGTTATGGGGGTCAGTCAGTCGTCGTAATCAAGGATTTATTGATCGTAGTTGGCAAATATGGTAGCCCAAGCGTATTACATACGGAATCCTTATCCGGTACCGGATGTCTCTCGAGAGGGTTTCTGGACAGCTCGTGGACCGGTACTTGGTAATAAAGTTTTACCTAACTACAGGGACTGGGATCTCAAGTTAACTCCTTACGAACGTCTTTTTGCTCATCATACTTTGAACAGCATAAGAAAGGATCGTCGATTAGTCAGACCGCAAGTAATCGAAACTTTTCACTTTTATAAAGAGAATATTGTTTGAGTTTAGACTAACTCTTGCTTGATTTAATTTTAGGTACCAAACGATTCCTTGGACTTGGCATTGAATAGCGTTTACGTTCATAGCAAGGACACTTTAGTTCCAAAAATGTACACAATCATGCAACCCGAAACTCTTGGACAAGAGACTTGGCGAGTTCTCAAAAATGAAATTAAGGTTGGTAAATGGTTGAAAATGATCATCAAGTAAACAATTAAATTAAATACGAATTTTGATTGTAGATCATACCTAAGAAACCAATATTACCTGTCGATCAAAAGCGAGACGTGATCATAACCGGTAATATCTTTGAATCTTCAACGAAAGAACGGATTTTGGGTGAATCATTAAAATGTTATCGTGGCCCGATCATCGATAATAGGATTCATCCTAGCAGCGTGAAATTAGCTATCGAGGGTCCTCATACGGATCAATCGAATCCCGGCTACAGTCGTAAAATTGACGGAACTTTTTACAATATTTAAAGATGGATTTTCGAGAATTGCAAACTGAGAGAGAGCGAGAGAGAGAGAGAGAGAGAGAGATGTTTGAGCTTTTATATATATCGACAAATCGTGTTAAGCCTTCTGACCACCCCGTATTTTCAAGAATAGCCACTCGGATTTGCTTCTTTCTACTGAACAGAGTACACCGAATGAAATGTTTGATGGTCCACAAATCGATGCTCTTAAAACGAGATCGATAATCTAGATTATCTAGGTGTCTTTACATTGCGAAATTAGTCAAACGTACGATGTAAAATAAATATCATCATCCTATGATAAAAGGAAACTCTTCTCGCTTCTTGGCAATATTATCCCCAGTTTGATGCAACATGCTATCATAGGTAGATAGATAGATAGATAGATAGATAGAAAGATAGATAATATTTAATATTATTAAATTGATTAACGAAGATAATTCGAAATTAATCGATCGGAGAGAGACGATTGGATTAATTTCGAAGGTTAATTTGAAAGTCCGAGAGAAAAGTGTATTGACCGAAGATCGTAGTTTTTAAAGAGAGACAAGCTTGCGGGTAAACAACTACCATACGTATATATATATATATATATATATCTAAATGTTTGTGTGTGTGTGTGTGTGTGTAGATACGTGAGTCAGTGCAAAGGACGTTCTCACTGCTCTGCTTGGAAGGGACAGAATGTCCCATTACGCGGGTAATCCTTGTTTGTAATAAAGCAGTGCCCCACTGCCAGGCAGGGTGTTATGCCACCCTGTGCGAGAGGCTACCCTTGTGCGATGTAGCACGCAAAGGCACGAAGGAGGAGGAGCCATCTCGGCACGCATATGCTCCTCATGGAATATCATTTACGTTTCAAGCCCTGCGCTCAGACGTCTATCTTGCCCCCGTTTGACCTCTTCCCCTTCAACAAATTCTCTCTCTCTCTCTCCCTCTCTCTATCACTTCCCTCGCTTACAGTAGGCGTCCGATCCTTATACGTGCACCTAATCCTTCCATGATTGCCATCGCGCGGACCGCCTCGAAATTCGCCTTGACTCTAAAGCATCCTTCTCCCAAGCCCTCTCTCTTTTGCTGCTGGCCCTTTTATCTCCTGCTTACCGTTCTCCAATTTTTCCTTCAATTTTTCAACATCTTTTCTTTCTCAAAATATTTTCTTATTTTCTTTTTCTTTTTCCTAAATTTCTAACTTATTCGACAAATGTGTAAGTATGTGTGTATTTGAATTTTGTTCGTCTTTTGGTTTTATTAAGTCTTCTACATTTTTTTTTATTTATTTATGAGAGAAAAAGGGAAGTGAGACTAAAACAGAATTGTATTTTCTTATTTAAAAATTGACCGCTCATCTCTACTAATTACTTCGATAAATAAAGTTCTTCACGTACGGTAAAGGTAGAGAGTAATTCTTTGTTGGATTACTCGACGTCGTGTGTCCATCGGCGAGAATCCCACCAACCACCCACCTTTCCCTTTCCCTTTCCCTTCTTTCTACTCTTGAGTTGGACTTTCTCTCTCTCTCTCTCTTTGTGGGACTAGACAACGAAGGATCTCCAACGATTGTGGGACGAACCCAACTTGCCAAGCAATTACTTGGCTGAGCGGTTTTATTTCTATTTAATTCTTATTTAATTTACTTTTTACGGTTACTCCTTCTTCCTCTCTCGCTCTCGCTCTCTCTCTCTCTCTCTCTCTCTTTCTATCATTATTTCTCTTTCTCTTTTCTTTTTTCATTGTTAACGAAATGGAAGATTTCTACTATCTTTTATTTTCTTTTCTTTTCGTTTATCTTTTTTCTCTTTCGTCTCTTCAACGAGGACAATCGATTCTTTCGTTAAAAAAAAGAGCTTAGAGTTTAATTATAATTTTCTTGTTCTTTTTTTTTTTTTTTTATTTATTAATAGACATCAACACGTTATATTAGCTTCTTCGAACATGATTCTTTTATTTTTATTCACTTTATTTTCTTTCTAAATATTTGTATGGGATATTTTTGTATATAATATATACCATTATTACGTGTAATTGTTTGTTAAAAAAAAAAAACGGTTAAAAATGTTTTTTAAAATTGATTAGTTTGTTCATTATTGATTGTTTTATTTTATTTTATTTTTTTTTCTAAATTTTGACAGGGAGAGAAATATTTAGTGTATATATATATATAATATGGAATACAGTATATTTGTTATAGTTTGTTGAAAATCTTTGGTAGAATCAGGACAAGTCCGTTGAAAATGTGCTTCTACGTGAGTTGGATAGCTCGCATACAGTCGTAGCTGATCCACCCGGGATGAACTCGTTATTCCACTTAACTTGTTACGTTGTATTTATCAGTAGAGGACACACACTGGCGTTGGTGACATCGAGCCAAACCTCTCCTGGCGGGTGGGCCATCTCTCTTTCATGCTGACGATTTGAAATAGTGTTTTAGAGCAGATATTTTGAAGTACGCTCTTCGAATTCGAAATCATTTCAAATTATCTTCTTGACGCCGAGGTAGTAATGCATTTCTTTTATACTATTTCTTTTTTGTTTGTTATTTATTTTTCATTTCAAAGGTAAGAAGTTTCTTGAGTATCTTTGTTTCTAAATAAAGGAAATAAATAACAGACGGAATAAGATGGCAACGTTTAATTGTGATAAATCGTAACGAGTATGATATTATTATATAGTGTAGAATCTTCTTTCTTTGAAGAAACATCGAAGAACGAAAAGGAGTGAAATGTTGTACGTGCTTAATAAAATAGCGAAAGGATCGTGAAGAGAAATCCTGGAACTACCACTACCTAACCTTCAATATAACAGATCTATCAGGGTGCTTGTGGATGGTTAACGAAAGCTTATTTTTTCATTTCTTCTTCAATAGGTTCTTCTCTTTTTCTCCTTTTCTTTATTCGATGTACCCGTTAGAGTGTTTGTTCGATATTTTAAAGTTATTTCAAAACAACTCGTCGCGAAGAGGGTGACAACTCGGACCAGTCGTCTGTGGTCTCATGGGAAACAAAGAACGAACGAAGTATTTTCTTTGCGAGCGTGCCGAGATTATTTTTCGATCGACCTTTTTGACGATAGAGATTTTTCTTTCCTCCTTTTTTTCTTTTTTTTTCTTTTTTTCAAACTGTCTAGTGGAAAGTACGAAAGAAAAAGAGAAATAACAAAAAAATAGGAAAGAAAAGGAAGATGTAGTAGAAGAAGAGGTGGCAAAAAATGTTGGGAAGCTAAGGTCAAGCCGGAAGATTATACTACAGCCCTCCGAAAGTGTGTGAAAGGGAGAGAAAGAGAAAGAGAAAGAGAGAGAGAGAGAGAGAGAGCGAGAGAGAGAGTTGGGATGATGGGAGAGAAGGGGATGTTGGGTCACGTTAATTAGGGAATTCTAATTATAGTGAATACGTAGGAACGGAGCGAGCGTGCCGTGGCAGAAGCCTCGAGGATCAAAATGCAGCCCTCCGCGAACGAGCCAAGATTACCTTCGAGGGTCCTCCACGTCCCTTTTGCTACCAGGGCCAACTTGCCTGCTCAACTACGACGACATAGACATAGACATAGAACACAGGCACGGTTCTCTCTAGCTACTTCAGATATCACCTAAAATAACATCGACCTGAGAACCCTTAGTATACCTACGTATACTCTATAGTATACGTATAACAAATGGATTAGTATTTTGGTGTATCGTAGATAATCCCACAGTCTCGGATCGTTCAGCAAGTTATCTCGTTTATTACTCTCGATTATTCCTTAATTCGTTATTATCAAGTTTTTTATTTTCAACAATTTGAATCGATCTTTATCATCCCTTTTTCTCTAATTAATAATTATTACTTATTTTTTTATATATATATATAGTAAATTATGTAGAAATTCGATAAGAAAACATTGATTCAACCAAGGATATTTGTCGCATTACAAACTACAAATATGTATAACATCCCGAATAGAAGATGTGCGTGAGTATGTTCGAATTTAAACAATCGTATGTTGTTTCGTAAGGGTTGTCAGAAGTGGGTTTCTAGTTTTCTGTTTGCTGAGAAATCGTAGATCGTCCACTTACGTGTTATATGGGAAGGAGAGCAAATATCGTCTACGGATTCGCCAGAGATCGAGATACGTGACAGGAGGACGATATACTTGGTTACAAGCCCCTCTTCCCCTGCAACCCCGCCCCCGCCCCCTCATACTCCCATCCTCTTCCTGCCCTTTTCTTCACCCCTCGTACCCTTACCCTTTAGACACGAGCAACCCCTAGAACGTGTACTCTGGCCCGTTCTAACCCCCCCCCCCGTTCTCCTCCTCCTCTTCTCCTTTACTTCAACCCCTCCAAGTTTTCTCAACAACGTTGAACATGGACCACTTTCTGCTTACTGGCTTCTCCCTCCTCCACCTCCTTTTCTCTTGTTCTTGTTCTACACGTGGGAACGAAGGCACGCGTCTCTCCACTTCGTTGAAAAACGTTTCTTTTCTGCAAACTCAGTCAGTTCTGATCTAAAAGAGGGTTGGTTGGTTGGTTGGTTGTTTAGTTGGTTGCTGGCTGTTACTGTTCTTGCTTTAGATTCCTTCCGAACGTGTCTGTATTTCTCAACGATGTTTGTTTCGCATATTTTCGGATACTTTCCTTTCCGAGGAGTAGGTACTTACTACTGAAAACTCATGAATATTCACACACCCCCGACTGTGTATAATAAAAGTCGTTTAAGTAGTATTATACTTTTTCATGGATATAATTTTAAATATTGTCAAGGTGGAGAGAGAGGAAGGAATTTTGTTTTTAAATAAAATGCACAAAATGTATACTTTACATTTGCTTTGTAATTTATTTATTTTAATGTATTGGTTTATGGTAGTAATTTTAAAGATTATTAAGATTTTTCAAAAGTTAGTTAAGTATGTTATTAAAATGTATTTTTGATTTTTAAATATTGTCAATAAAGGAGAGAGCGAGAGAGCGAGAGAGAGAGAGAGAGAGAGAGAGAGAGTATATGAGGAAGGAATTTTGTGTTTTTAAATAAGATCTATAAAATATAAATCATACCGCCTTGTTATCATTTATTTTCGTTAAAATATTGGTATATTGCATAGAATTATATAAGAGTTATAACTATTGTCTTAAAATTACATAAAAATATGATTAAAAAATATCACTTTAATCTGAATTAAAATAAATATTTCGATCTGTAATGAATTTTATTGTCAGTTAAAAAAAAAAATGAGAAAGAATTTTGATTAAAATAGTCTCGTATTTTACCCGCTGACAAATGTATTCTATCATATCTTGTTAAGAATAGGATATGAATTATGTGTGTGTGGAGTAACACATATATATTTAGGTAACAATTACAAAGTGAGTGACGTTTGTGT